GCACAGAAGTGTAGCATCAGCACAACCGACCCCATGTGCTGGTAAGTGTCTAGCCTAACCCCGGCGAAGTAGTGACGAGGCTAGACCGGACACCACATAAACCTGTGCAGTTATAAATATACAACAGAAACGAAATACCAAACAACTAACAATATGGGAGGGGGGACTCATGCTATGGGGAGATAACAATAGTAACAGTAATCCCGAATAACAAACTAAAACAGCTTGGATTCACAATGAACAAGGAATCAATACCCAATATGAACACATGGTATCAATAACTGTTGCGGCGTGCAACCCGGTCCATAATTACCATTGTTGCGGCGTGCAACCCGATCCACAAATACCACTGTTGCGGCGTGCAACCCGACCCATATCATTTATCATGTATCATTGCTGCGGCGCGCAACCCGATCCTCATATATTATTGTTGCGGCGTGCAACCCGACCCTCAATATCATTTAACAGTCTGACTCCCCAAACAACAGTCACGATTAAGGGGCATAAAATAAGCAAATATTTGACAAAAACCCCGGCAAGGGAAAGAAACCAACAAGTTCAACCAAATATCCCGGCAAGGGAATAATCAACAACGCTTTCTCTTTCTTACTTTTCTTATCTTATAACTCACTCTACCATTTGAGCCAACGCTCCAAAGAATTAAGTCATTTCATATACTTTCAATATTCGTATCACAATCCGAGCCAATTCTCCTAGGAATCAAATGATCATAACACCGTTCACATGTTATTCATAATATATAGAAATCCTCCAATAAACATGAAATTCACAACCAATTCACGATAATCACCTTATAAGGACTCACGGTCATGCTAGACACCAATGTATAGAGACTCGTCACCATCCTATACATCGTACTCGATCACATAGCAATTAGCAACAAGACTCAACTCCTATTCCCTCAAGCTAGGGTTAAACCAAACACTTACCTCAAAGCCTTGAAATCCACTTAATCCTCAACTACCGCTTTACCTCGCGGTTCCACCTCCAATTTGCTCGAATCTAATCACAAATTGCTCAATTACTTTAATAAACACTATATGAATCAATTTGAATGCATAAAAATGATTTTCCCAAGTTTTTCCCAAAAATTCCAAAAATGCCCCCGGGCCCACGTGGTCAAAACCTGAGGTTCGAACCAAAACCCGGTTACCCATTCCCCCACGAACTCAAATATATAATTTGTTTTGAAATCGGACCTCAAATCGAGGTCCAACTCCCCAATTTCTAGAAAACCTAGGTTCTACCCAAAAACCCCAATTTCACCTATGAAAATCCTTGATTTTAAGTGGAAAACATGTTTAATGATGTTAAAGATTGAAAGAATTGAGTAAAAATCAACTTACAATTGATTTGGGATGAAGTTTGCTCTTGAAAAATCGCCTATGGTGTTTGGGTTTTGAAAGAGTGGTGAAAAGTGATGAAAATTCGACTAAGTATAAAATTTGCTGGGCTGCGGATATGGGAAATGCGAAGCTGGGTTCGCAATTGCGAACCCAGCAGGTCTGGGAATTGCGAGATTTTAGTTCGCATTTGCGAACACTGGGCCTCAATGCAGACTTCGCATTTGCGAAAGATTGATCGCATTTGCGATCTGGGCCCTCTCGCATTTGCGAGCAAGGGCGTCGCATTTGCGACCCAAGCTGAAATCCTTCCTTCTCGCATTTGCGATGGGGAATTCGCATTTGCGAGAAATTCTTCGCAAATGCGATGAAACCAGACCTGACCTGCAACTATTTTTTCAAAGTTCAAAAATGCAACTCGACACTTATCCAAAACTCACCCGAGCCCTCGGGGCTCCAAACCAAACATGTACACAACCTCAAAAACATCCAACGGACTTGTCCGTGCGATCAAATCGCCAAAATAACATCAAAATCATTGAATCAAGCCCCAAATTTATCATTTTTCATTATAACTTCATAAACTTCAAACTTTAGATATTTAGGTCCGAAACACGTCAAATGACGTCCGATTTCGACCAAACTTTACAGTAAGCGCTTAACACATATTTAAGACTTGTACCGGGCGTCGGAACCAAAATACGAGCCCGATACCATAGTCTTTTAATCAATTTGCATTTCCATTTTCCTTAATAATTTCAGAAAAACAATTTCACAGAAAAATTCTTTCCTCGGGCTCTAGACCTCGGAATTTGACTCCGGGCACATGCCCGAGTCCCATATTTTTCTACGGACCTTCCGGGACCGTCCAATCTCGGGTCCGGGTCCGTTTACCTAAAATGTTGACCAAAGCCAACTTTAATCATATTAATATCAAAACTCATCATTTTTCACACAGAATTCATATTTAAGCCTTCCGGCTACACGCCCTGACTGCGCACGCAAATCGAGGCAAGTAAAAATGAGGTTTTCAAGACCTCGGAAGCACGGAGTGGATGAGGAAATAGGTGATGACCCTTTGGGTCGTCACAGTGTGAGGGTTGTGTTAGGCGTGTGCTTGGCGTGTCTTTTGGACCGTTGGCGCCTATGTTGCACTGACGTGGGGCTTATGTGGAGCTGACAGGGAAAAGTAGTAGAGCAGGTGGGCTGGTGGGTATGGGCCTCCGATTTGGGCTATGGGAATGGCTAAATCTCTTTCTTCTTCATCTTTTATTTGGGCTTCTTAAATCTTAAATCTTGATATGCTTAGTAACAAATATTTATATTAAATAATTTTCTAGTGTTTAAATAATTACAAACTTTTGTTGTAAAAATATATTTAGTAGATACTAATAAATATATTACAAATAGGATCAATGCAATGTAGTGAAAAATATTTGTAAAGGAGAATATTATTAGATTGACGTTAAATGAAATTATTTGAGAGATAAAATCGTCGCCGTCATCATAGTAGAAATAATAATAATAATAATAATAATAATAATAATAATAATAATAATAATAATAATCACAACAATAACCCCAATAACATTATCTAATGACAAAATAGAATAATAAAATAATGATACTAATTAGATAAAATAGTAAAATAAATATTCTTACATAATAAACAATATTAGAAGCTCAAAGAAATAATTTGGAAGAAAGGAGGGACAAAATTGGATGTCAACAATTGCTCCCTTGGTCTTTCTTCCTCACCTCATCTCCTTTGGCAGCTGTTGCCATTGGAGCTGGGGTATGCATCCCTTCCTTCATTTTCCCTTTGTTCTTAGCTAGATCTCCTGCATCACTGCTTTCTTCAGCTTGCATGTTCTTCAAGTTTGATCTTCCATCTGGTTCCTCGATTCGTATCCCTTTGGAGATACAAAGAGCTCTAACACAGCATTCCTAGTAGCTGAGGATCGCTGCTCATCCGTTGCAATCTTCTGTTGGTTTCGTTTAGGTCTTCCCCTCCCTCCCATGGCTTCCGGCGCAGGTTAGCTGGCCACGTTAACGTGCGCCGAGAGAGTTTGTTAGATAGAGAAAATTGCTTGGAGAATTGTTATTCAAGGAAAAGTGAAGTTTACAATAAAAAATTAAAAGTTTAACCGTCTCAAAATTAAATTTAGACTCGCAAGACTTAAATAGGATGTTATGATTTTTAGTTTTAAACTTTAGACGTCCAACTGTCCAAGTCTAACTTCAAACCTAAATATTTGAGGTTGGCATAACTAAATCTGAAACTTGACATTACTATCCGTCTACATAAATTTTTATACACAAAAAGATTCAATGATTTTAGGGAAAACATTTCTAAGCATGACGATAGGAATGTTTTCCCTAAAATTATTAAATCTTATGTTATTACAAATTTTTTGTTAGTTACGCATGTTTGAAGTCTGTCAAATGGCTAAAAGTTAAAATAGTTTAGAAAAATAAACTTAAATAGACGTGCATCCAACTGCTTAGACTAAAAAGTCGTCGGATATATAATTTATATATAGAGAAACTTTTAGAAACTACTATGTTTTAGTGGTTATTAGCTAGTTGTAGCTACCATTTACTATATTACTTCCTATAGCTATGTTATCAGATTTTTTAGAGTGTATTCGATGTATTTAAACTACTGTATTCATGAATAAAGTAGCATTCTCTAGGCGTGAAACAGGGGATTACAACTAGACAGATTTTTGTATTAGAGTGTATTTGACTGTATTCAAGGCGTGAAATATGGGATTACAGCTGGACAAATTATTGTATTCGACTGTATTCGACTGTATTCACGGCGTGAAACAGGGGATTACACTGTTTTTAAACGGAAAGTGAATCAATTAACATAATAGACTCCTAATATAACTCAACAAACTCAATTATAACACACAAATTTTGTATTTCCAGTTATAAAAAAGATTCTCAACAGAAAAACACCCAAAAAATATAGCAATCTTCAGAGAAACTATATAATACGTCTGAATACATAAATTATATTAATTAAAAAAAAACATATGAATACATTCATGGAATATAGCGAGACAGTGAATACAATGAAATACATAGAATACAGCGGGATACATTGAAATACAATGAAAAAAAAGATAATGAATACAATGAAATACATAAAATACAGCGAGATACATTGAAATTGTTGATCCGATATGTTGCGTCAGAGATTGGGAGGCTGAGGCGGCGGTATCAATGAATAACGGCCACGGTCGTAACGGTGACGGTGGCAATTGCTCCAGCGTCCGGCTTAGGAGAAGACATCGGAAAGTAGAGAGAGAGAGAGAGGGAGAATAGATATGGGGTAGGGGATAGGAGAAATTTGAGGGGATATGAGAGAGAAAAATAATACAAAACTTATTTTATGGCTTAAGGGTAGCGGGTGACCATAAATAGATATTTGGCTATAAAAAATCAAAAGGTAGCTATGAAATATAATTTTTCAAAAGGGTACTATTTATTTAAAATAAATAAGATATCAACCTTTGCTATGGAATATAATTTATCCTTATAGATATATAATATGTATATTCGACTGGCTATTTATGTAAATATAAAGAAAGCCTTATATGCCGAGGCCTGAATCTTTCGCCCAAAGGAATTCTTTTTCCCGCCAGCATTTTTCCACTTATATATATCGCTACTCTACACAGTTTCAAGGGTTTTATAAATTTCTCTTTTCATCACTGCAAATTCAAATTCCTCTTCAATGCCGACGCTTTCATGGCGGCAGCATACACTAATTCAAGCTCTTTTATCTCGCGGCCCACACAAAGAACCTGATTTCAAATCTCTCTTCTTCAATGTCACTGGCAAATCCGCAGGTCTTCTTTTACTTCATTTTGTTTTTTGTTTAAAACTCTTTTTTTCGTATCAGTTTACGGGGTTTTAGTTAAATTCCAGTGATCCCATTGCATTATTAGTGATTGTCATTTTTTATCGGATTTAATTGTTAAGGGACTGTTATCAATTTCAAAACCCCAATTAGAAATCTTATTCAAGTTTCTTTTTAAAATTTTTAAAGAATTGTTATATCTTTATGAAAGCTAAATTATTACCAAATTTTCCATTTTGATGCTTATTAGCAAAAAGGGGTAAATTTTATTGTTACAGTAACAAATTGTTGAATGATTCTGATTTTATAAGGATTTTATGCTTTCTGTTTCTTTGGTGATAAGTAGTACTATTAATTTGATTAGTTCTTTGATTAGTGATGTTAAAAATTAATTGAAATAGATTTTTAAAAAAAACTCTTTTCTTTTCTAGTAACTGTGCTGGAAAAAAGGTTGGTTTCTGATACTGATTTTATATGTGTATGTTTCAGCTAATCATCAGTCAATGTTTAATGAATACCTGAGAAAGATAAACGAGGAGCTCGCTTATGTGCAGTTTGAGTTACGGGCATGTAGAAACCAGTATGATGGGAAGGTGTATTATGGTGTTGTTAACAATGTTTCAGATGAGCAATCCAAACTTGGAACGAAATATTCAGTTCCTCAGATTGCTTTCTATAAAGGCGTTGTGAGCTTCTCTTCCCTTTAATTTGAACTGTGTTGAGAATGTCCTTAGCTGTTATATAGCCTTCCTGTGTTCATATGAGGAAGTATTTCCATTATTTTTATCTAGGGATCTTCTTGCTTTGTGAAGGGGAATAGAATGTAAAAGGGAAAACCTTCATTAGTATATGGACTAGAGAACAAGAACTAATTTGGTTGCTTTGAATATGGAACAAAATGCTGAATGTTACTTTTCTCCTTTGAACTTTGAGACCGTTATGGATTTGTATTTCCATTTGACCATTTTCGCAAGGGCTGGGAATAGCTTTACCTCCTTAAGTTAACTCAAAGATGATGGAAAAAACAGAAGATCTACATGTTATTAGCCTTCCAAAACATAGATCTTTGTGATTAAGATAGTAATGAATTGCTTACAAGATTAGATCTTTGTGATTAAGATAGTAATGAATTGCTTATGATCCTGTAACTTATGTGATGAATCCGGTATGGGAATAGAGCAGCTGACACTAGCATTTGTTCAAGTAATTGTAGAAACATGAACTCATATCTTCCTTCAGTCAAGCATAGTACTTAGCTCTGTTAGTGATATACAAAATAATATTCAGGAGGCCCATTTAAATTGATAGGTTGAAGTTTGTTGTTCATTTACTTCATACCAGCTGAAAATGTTGGTAGTGGAAGAGGTATGCTGGTCTTCATTTACTTCGTTTTAATCTTGCGTCCCTTTTCTCAAACAAATTTACACTAAATGTTTTAAGGGGAAGAATTGAATAACTAAATTAGATGGTTCCAGTAATTGATGTTTTCTCAATCAATCAACTAGGCCTCAATTCTAAACTAATTGGGTCCTGCTATATGAATCTTCCACTCATCTGCATCCATTCTGCTCAGGCCCTTTTCATTCAAATATTGAGTAAATTGTATTTTAAGGTAACTTTGGGGGTTTCCTACAATTAAAGATCTCTAAATTTCACACTTATCCCAACACAGACATAAAATTCTCTAACTATAATTAAAGAATCCTGTCAGATATTGGACTTAATATATCTTTGTAGTAACCTAGCTTTAATCCTAATCATTGACTTTCATTTTATTATGTTCTTAGCTAAGACTGGTTAGTGTTTCTTAAAGAAAATAAATACAAATATAGAAGATCTTTAACATTGCTTATTAGAAATGTCATTATGAGATTAATATTTTCCCTTTTTCTTTTTGGCATTAGAATTTAAAAAAGAAAAACAGAAGATTTATGTGGTCATCATATAATTGCAGATTGAAGCAATTGTTCAAGATGTGGCAGCTTTGGGTTGTATTTCAACCATTGATGCACTGAACATACGGCTTGAAAATCAGGTTTTCTTACTTCCTAACAATAAATGAATGTCTGTGGCTACTATCAGTTCCATCGTTTATAGTATTTATCTTGCTGCTATCTTCCTGTGAGTTATTAGCTAAATGTCAAATTATGGTTTAGAAGATAAATTCCTCTTCACTATTGACAACTTCCCTTCTCTAGCCAAGGTTGATATAGCTAGACCTGTTCATACTTGTAACTAGTCAAGTCTGATTTTCACAAGCGCGCACACACACACACACATACAGTTTCTATATATAGAAAATGCAACATTTACAGGTCAAAGAACAGCAACATAAAAAGATAAAGCCCTAAGGAGGTAGATATTTATGGCCTCGGATGATCTTTGCTTTATATTCATGTTGATTGCCTTTCTTTCTGTTGCCTCTATATTCATATTTAGTAAGTTTCTATCTGGAAAACAGTGTAAAATAAAGTATTCGGGGAATGGTTGGCTAGTATCAACTTATGGCAGCAAATCATTTTCTTACTCATTTAGAGGTTATCTGCTTCTTAATAATGAGGCTTTTGATTTTTGACTTAGAGTCACATGGCCAATATGTACTTACAATCAACAGAGACTGAATGGTAACTATTTATTGTGAATACCAAAACCTCCTGTTTGTTTGTTTACTTCTCTTGTTTGATGATAAGAGTGGACACTTTGTTCAATCAGTTAGAGGATATGGAATGGGACTTAAACTCATGTCTCATCAGGACCAAGGCTTTTACGCTTGTTCATTGACCAGGATGTAACACATATGAAGTGCCTTTTCGTAGAATGTCAACTAAAAATGGCAGGACGGCAGGATATGGTTGTGACTTCTGAATTAAAAAATATTCTCGTATAAACTTAGTAAATATGGTTGCTATTAGATCAGAGCTCTTTGTACTTTACATAGCTCCGATTTGTATCTTTGCTGTACCGCTAATTTCTTTGCTGGAAATTTATTTGATCAACAGTTCCTGGCTGGAACAGATCCCCAGTCTCAGGGAGGTTCAGTGCAAATTCCTGCAGCGTTTAGGAATTTCTCGATGTCTCAAAAGGAAAAGACCCTTGAGGAACTTGTGAAGGATCAGTGGCTTTCTCTAACAGATGGTAAGATAGGACTAGGAGTGCGTTCCTTTCTTGATCTTAGAAGTTGGTTTCGCAGTAACGAGGTTCCTCCATGTGAAGTTTGCAATGAAGCTGCAGTGAAGGTTTGCTCCTCTCTTAATTTCTTCGTTTGATCTCCATGATGTCCGTTGAACAACTTTCTCCTTTCAAATTGGAGCATTTTTTCTGCCATTTTAGCTGAAAACTCAATTCATCTTCCCTTACTGCAATTTGGTTTGATAATGTCACTACAAACATCGATTCCCTAAGAAAGATGCCTATGTGTCTATGATAACTATATGGCAGCTAGATCATCCAACTCATGGTGATATGATTATTTGACCAGGCTGAGCTTTGCCAGAATGAAGGCTGTAATGTTCGCATCCATCAGTACTGCCTGCGAATGAAGTTCTCCCAACGCAAGGTATTCTTCTTTCCTATTATTCCCCTTAGAAAAACTTCTATAGTAGGTAAAGACAAAAAATGTCTTTTTTGCCCTCAAGGCTTTTGGTTCAGTGGTAAGAGTGGAACGCGTTATGTGTGTGTTAGGCGCACGTCACAGGGTTGAACCCTTACGATGGACCAAAAGTCTGCATTAAGTGTAGGAGAGGGCCCATTATCCACTTAGTTCCAAACAGTACGCCATCTGGCCCTCGAAGATTTCTTGGTTATAAAAAAAGTCTCATCTAGGAAGAACTAAGCTACCGTTGAACCCATTATTTTCAGGCTGAAAAAGTTTGTCCAGGGTGTGGGACAGAATGGCATTATAACATAACAAAAGCAGAAGTTGTAGACGAAGAAGATGATGCATCTGCTCCTTCTGAAAGTCAGCAGCCTGGTGAACCCTTAATGAGAAAGAGGCGGAGGACCTGTGGAGGGACCGATTCTGATACTCTCAAGCCTGGATCATCTCAAAGTACGAGGGTGACTCGGGGTTCTGCCCGTCTGAGGAATGCAAGTTAAGAAATTTGTTTCGCTAGTTTTGGCGCTCATGCACCTCTAACTATATGAAAATGGCTGTCTATATATTTTTGCACCTCATGAAGATTTACTTATTTGGTAGACCTATTTAACTTATGATTGTAGATTATAGGAGTATCCAGATTAGTTTCTTAATCCCTATTCTCTGGGTGTTCTCCAATTGCCATTATCGCGCAGATGATTTCTTCCTTGTATATACTAGTGAAATAGTATCAATATTTTAACTCTATTAATATCCATTCCCTTCTTTTGAATTCAACTAGCAATGCAAAAAATATTGGAGAGTAACTTTTAAGATGGAATGAATGAAAGTTTACAAGTAAAAGTTTTGGTAAATTCGCAAATGGTAATGTGTCCTTTTGCCTGGTGTGGAGACAAAGAATTGATAAACTTATTCTCGCACTTGTAAATTCACAAATACTAATGCGTTCACTTTTCCAATTAAAAAAGTGCTACTCTTGCTTTATTGTTTGTACTAGCTAGGGGTGTTCATGGTTCGGTTTGGATCGGTTTTTCCAAAAAAGAAACCAAACCAAGTAAGTCGGTTTTTCAAATATTAGAACCAAACCAAACCAAACCAACTAAGTCGGTTTTTTCTCGATTCGGTTTATGTCGGATTTTGTCGGTTTTTCGGTTTTTTCGGTTATTTGTCGGTTTTTTCTTAAATATAAGACATGCACTACCAAACACATAATCCGGCGATCATATTTTTAACATAACACTACCAAATCAATTACCCTTTGAGAAATCTATTATTTACTAAAATATATTGATGATAATTGAATCAAATAGTTATGAATAATTTAAGAACTCAATTAAATTTTTTTTTTTTTAACATGAAATGGATTCTTACAAACAAAAGAAACTACCAATCAAACTAGAATATAAAGGTAAAAAATTGTACTAAAAGTGCAAACGATTAACATTCACCATAAATATTTTGAAACTTTGTATAAAAATATACATATACATAGGTGTAATAATAAATTTAAAATAGCTACTCCTATAGTCGGTTTGGTTCGATTTTTTCCGGTTATTTTTTTATTAAAACTAAAACCAAACCAAATTTGATCGGTTTTTAAAATTCAAAACCAAAACCAAACCAAACCAAACCAAAAAGTATCGGTTTTTTTGGTCGGTTTGGTTTGGTTTTCGGTTTGGATAGGTTTTTCGGGTTTTTATGAACACCCCTAGTGCTAGCAATCAATATTGTAGTTTAAACCATTATCCTTAGAATGACACACCCTTGTTCTCATAAGTTGGCTCCTTTTCATGTCAGTTTGAAGCTGTAAATTCCCAGGCATACAACTTAAATCCAAATATTCTTTTTCACCAAATCCTACAATAGTGCCAACAATTTCCATACAAACTTCAAATGTTAAGTAATTTCCTCCCTCTTGTTCATTTTCAAGTGCAAATCATCAAATATCAACAACAAAACAACCATATCAATGTCAACATTTAGCTTCTAAGGGAAAATGGTCTGGATTGTATGTTAAGAGCACACTCTCCGAGAATTGATGATATAGTGGTAAGTTATGAAGCTGAGGCATAAGAAGATCATGAAGCCACCGACCCAAAGGTTCAAATCAATTGGATACTTGACTTGGCAAGACAACTCTAGCCAAAAAAATATATAATTACAAATACAAACTTTCCATTTTTAACATTTGAGCATGTTGTTGCATTTCACAAGTATGTAATGTACTTGGGAAACCGATACCATGCTCAAACAACAACGTGAATAGTTATGTACCTGCAATTTATACATGTTCTTGGCTAGAGTTGCCTTACCAAGTCCAAGTGGTGACCGATTGATTTGAACATTCAGCTAAATGGCTTCATAAGCTTTTTCTACCTCACCTTCCAAACCACTATTTCATCAATTTTCGGAGACTGGTTGTTGTGAGATACGACAAGTAGCTTCTGGACCATGCTTTGGTCATACAAATAACTGAAACACGTCTCACTGTCAGCACAATCTGGTATAAGACAACAAGCTCTTTAGTTTGTCGTAGCAACTTTGCTGACCAGAGTTTTTAGGCAAGGTATAGCACCAATTCCTTCAAACGAGCAAATGATTTCTACTTGGTCTTGCAAGTCAAGAGTTCCTTTAGCATCTTCTTCCCCTATCTAGTTTTGGTGTGTATGCAAGTAATAGACAAGGAAAGTCCTGCATACAAACATCATTGACAATTTTGTCAAATACCAATTCAGATAGCTTTTCTAATTATTATAAATATAAATATTTAAACATATACACCTACGGGCAAACAGAAAGCTTGGAGAACATAGCGTAATGGTTGAACAGTTGAACTTATCTACTACATAATAATGATTCCAAGGTTAGTCGACTCATTTCCTACCAAAGCCAAGTACACAATACGATTTTATAGCATCAAAGCTATAATCAGTAACCAGAAATAGTGGCACGAGAACTTTTAAAAACTTCAATCTCAAAATACTGTTTGATCATTTATCTTAACATGGCTTGCTTGATATATAAAGCAAAACACTGTTTTTTAAGATAAGTACATTGTAATTTGTAAGTAAATAAACATTACAGCAAGCAGTTAAAGTGGGAGCCTGAATATAGTGGAAAATACTGATTAATCTTATAATTTTTGAAGTTATCAGTGAAATGAAAGAATACTCCAACAGAATTAGCATGCATGTTTTGGTGCAAAAATAAAGAACATAGAAATATCAAGAATAAGAATCAAGACATAGGCCAGCATAAGTGGTTAAAGCTAAACAGGAAAAAAGAAGTTTATTATCATAACTCATGCCCCTCAAAGATCAAATTTTAGCAGATTTAATTGATCTTCATTATAAAGATTACATCTCCAAAGAGATCATGCAACATAGAGCTACTCAGAGGTCTAAAATGATACGGTATCAAACATGAAATGGTTATGCTAAAGTAAGCTACTGAGGGGCGAAGCTAGAAGCCCGAAGATGGATTCAGCGGAGCCTAGTAGTTTTTGTTCAAACAATGTTAAAAAATTCATTTATATAAATAAATATTAAATTTAGAATCCAATTATTAGCATTTGTTCTTGAGCCGAGAGTCTACCGGAAACAACCTCCCCACCTTCATAAGGTAGAAATAAGGTCTGCGTACACATTACCACGCCCAGTTCCCACCTCTGAGATTTTTTGTTGTTGTTGTTGTAATTATTAGCATTTGAGATCGTTCTAAAATCTATCCTAAATAATAATAAAAAAAACTCCTACCCCCGTATTTCTTATTTGATCAAGCTTCAAAAAGATCCTTAACAAATAGTAACTGAGAAATTATACTCTCTCGTCTCAATTTATGTTATACTCTTTCACTTAATCTATCAAACATTTCTGTAGAAACAATTTTACTTTAAACTTCTACCGTCACATATATGGTTTATTTTAAAACACAAGTTTCAAAAGTTTTATTTCTTAAACTCCGTGTCTAATCAAACAGTATCACACAAATTAGGACGGTGGGATTACAAATTTAAGACATTACTCATTAGCAAGTAAAACAAATACAAATATTGAAGCTTTATAAACTAACAAATGAAAAGAAATTGTACCGTTTGTTAAGCAGCTTGAGATAAATTCAGATCTGATCCAAAACACGTTCTTGGCAATTTCGCCGCCGCCGGCGAGAACGCCGTTTGACGGCGGCTGAAGATTAATTGAGCACCTTACTCCCTATAACCCTAACCCTAGTAAGAAAGTATATTTTTATAGGTGAGTTTGGCCCCTTTGGTAGGTTTAGTTTCACTAATTAAGTTACATCCACCTCCCTCTATCTTAATAAAATTATGTTTTAACTATAGCTTAAATTTTAAAATTTTCATTTAGAATCTTAATGCTAGTATGAGATACTTTTTATATATGAGCTCTCACTCCGTCTAGGGGTGTCAATGGATATTCGAAAACCGATTAAACCGACCGAACCGTACCGCACCGAACCGACTTTTAGGTTTTTTTTTAAGAAACCGTAGGTTCTTATATAAATCTATAACCGCACCGCTAATAAGGGTAGTTTTTTTATTTTATAAAAATAAACCGAAAAATTCCGAACCGTACCGAATAAATTTTACATGTAGAAATATATTTATCTAGTAAGTTTAAAAATAATAATGCATTAAATTTTTCTTTGGGCCTTGGAATTATGAAAACTATTACAAGCCAACAAGTAATTAAACTCAAAATACTAATTCCTAAAACATATTATGCTACTTCTACTTAAACTAAGTTATTTTAAGTATCTTTATTAGCAAGACACAAAGTATTCTAGCGATTATGAGTAGCAAACTACAATGTATTGAATATGTTTCCTTTCATATAATTTAGATTTATCTTTTTGAATATTTAATATTCTATTGATTTTATTTGAGTCCCATCTTGGTTAATATCTTTCTACTCGTATGATTTATATTTTCTTTGCCTTTGCTTGATTTCTTTTACGTTGTTTTAGAATAGTTGATGGATCTATACTCTAGCCATCTTTCATTTTTTTTTAACTCATCATCCTTTAAATAGTAAAAATGTAAGTTTTGCTTAGTCATATAAAAGAACATATGTTATGGCATTCTACTTCTACTGGTGTATTTTATATGAATATTAAAAAAATATCGAAAATTAACCGAACCGTACCGATACCGAAGAGAAACCGACAAGATCGGGACGGTTTCGAAAAGTCTAATTTTGGTTATACATAATAGGATAATCGAAAAATTGGTATAGTATAAATTTTATAAAATAACCGGCCAAATCGAACCATTGACACCCCTACCTCCATCTTAATATAGTTATGTTTTATTATAACTTAAATTTTAATATTACATGTAAAATTCTAATGAGATACCTATTTATATGTGAGTGTGGCCTATGGCTGTTTAACGGGCCGGGTTGATCCATTTCCGAACTGGCCCAGACCGGTATTAACTCGGACCAGTGGTAGGGGGCCGGGTAGGGCTGGGTTTATGGGGTAAGGGGTTGGGACGTTTACATTTTTCTTACCTGTTAACCGGACCGGTCAAACCCGGCCAAACACTGTTGAACCGGTTAACTGGGCCGCCCGGACCGGTTCTACTGCTATTTTCTAATTTTTTTTAAAAAAAATTCATTTGACCGTTGGCAACAGTAAGTTTCCAATTTGACCGTTGCCCAACGGATATTTTTCAATAATACCCCTTTTGGGGCAATTTTAAAAAAAAAATAACACTTTAAGTTATTACTAATTTAGCCCTTTGAGAAACTATAAATACACCCCACCCACCACCCCACCACCCTCTTCTTCATTTCTTCACTCATCTCTCATATCTCAAATTCAAATTTTCAATTCAAGTTAAATCATGCCCCGTACTTCTAGAGTGCGCCATATGTTTGGGAATACTTCGAGGTGGTAGAAGAAAATGAAGAAGTTCACAAAGTAAAGTGCAAGAAGTGTGGACGAGTCTTAAATCTTCGTCTAAAGTGGGTGAGCACAAGCTGTTTAAGGAGGCATGTGAAGAGTTGTCTTGAGCGTCCTCCGGAAATTCGTATTTAAGTTGATTTGAGATAATTTGTGTTATTTTAAAATTATTAGATGTATTTATGCTTAATATTTTAGTTTGTTAGATTAATTTGAAGTATTATTATTAAATGAAACTATGAAAGCCTTTGAAGCTTGATCCTTATATATCAAGTTATTATAACACCCTAGTATCCAGTATAAGATTTATACTATAAGTTATATTTTTCTCATGTTCATTGTATTATCTTAAATTCGTAATGAATGTTTCAAATATAAGGGTTTTAAAGCTTTTGAAATTTATTCAAACACTCTTTTTATAAGACTATATTTTGTTTTATATTTTTACTTTATATTAATATAAATTAGGATAGTTATACAAAATTAAAAAAAAAAAGCCGGCCCGGCCCCTTAGACCCGTAAGCTTTTGGTTCAATTTCACGCGGGTGGGCCCGGACCAAAGCCCGATTTGGAAAAATCGGTAGAAGGCCCGGATTGGTGACCGGCCGGTCACTTTTCTTCTCAACCCGGCCCGACCCACCCATTTGACACCTTTAGTGTGGCCTTTTTTAATAAGTTCACATTTTTTCAATTAAATTTGTATACGATCGAAATCAACTGTTATCGATTTGGTGGGCTCGAGGAACCACTTCAAGAATAAGTCCGAAGTACATTGGGTTCGAGCCCAATGGCAGAGTTCAAAGTTCGAAGACCAAAGTGACCGATGAATGTCTAGGATGAACGTGACCGACCTCGAGATGATGCCGTTATAAGTTTGTAACAGAATGAGCAAGATTCCAGCCACGTCCCCAAGATCATGGCGTAAATTCCGGAATTTATTTGTACGAATCCGTACTAGGCGGTTAGACAGCTGTCCCAATAGGATTCTTTATTGTAAATAGAAACGTAACTTATTTTGGGGTCCCCCCCCCTCCCCCCCCC